TATATACAAAACATTACATTTAAAGATAGCTAGGTCCATAAAAAAAAGTGGAAATATTTTAACAAATAACTATTAACAGAAACACCCTTTAGTCACATTTACAAATATTTAATTTTGGCCAGTGAAATCCGAAATATGATTTTCCCCCGTGATCAATTGGCACGCCGAAATGCAATTGTGCTTTATCGCCGCTGCAGCATTTGGTCAATTGCATTGCTTATTTTTGTACACACTTTACGAAATATCAATAAATATTTTGCTAATTACACCGCAGAGTGATTATTTAAGCCGACTATATGGGCTGCTGCCGGTGTTTGTTGCCGTTCGGTCCGCCGTCAGATTGTAACAGATGCCCCATGGCATCCATAATAATGTTAAATGGTTTATAATAACCATAAATGTTTGAAATGTATGTGCCAAATGGCTTTTGGTGGCACATCCAACCGCACACAGAAGTCCACTTCAGTCGAGTCGAGTCCAGTCCAGTCGAGTCGCGTCGCATCGCATATAACCAGTTCGAATCCAGCTGGGTTTCTCGACAGCCGGCACAGTGAGAGGTCCCCCGGATGGCTGGGAGTCCGGGTTTTTGCCATGGAAATTGTTTATGGACACTTGTGGGGGGTGAGAGTGTTTCTGAATTTAACTGATTTTTAATGTGCGCGGCGAGACTTGTGGGCGTTGGCGAGATAGAGAGAGGCATAAGTTTGGGGTCGACATATAACGCCATTTGGTATTAGCCAATTTGCGGCAGTTTATTGGTGGAAAATCGTTACGCCATGATTGGCTGCTGGCTACTGTTTAATAAACTCATTGATTTATGGCTAATTAAATTTGTTGCCCGTATTAATTTATGCCAATTTTCGTGGCACATGCGCAATTAAATGAATTCCCCAATGGGTCAATGCTACATTTAAACAGCCAAAATAAGCTGCTTCTACTAACCGAATGAACGGGTTGTGGAGTGTATGTATAGTAGTATATCAATGATTAATGATCAACAAATTGGGTTGACGGGTAAATGGAATTTTTCTTTATTTCGCCGTCGAGCTGACCATGAAAATTGAGAACCCGCAACGCCCCAAACTGTCAGTTATCCATCACGATTGATGGATGTGCAGTCGGGGCTGCGAATGCGAGAGAGTAGAAGCTACCATCCACTCATCGTCATTGTCCGTAATCATTATCCGCAGCTCTAGCCCCGGGTACTCCACCTTATGTACATGCTCGTAAATCGTGCAAAATGATCTTCACTTCCCACCATATAGCCCTCACTTCTCGCCGATCGCCGATCGCCGGGGTGTTACCCACACATAGCACCGCAGTTTTGGGCTGCCTTTGCTTATCCAAAATTGTAATCAACTTAATAATAGGCTCCGCGCGCCTTAATGCTGATTAGGGGTTTTGTTTTTTCGCCTTTTGGATGGAGCAGGGAGATTGAATGTAGCTAGCTTACATACGCACCATAATTATGCAGGCCAGTGTAGAGTTGGCTAATGGGCAAATCGGAAAGGCTGGTTACTTTCCCTTAACTAAGTTTAGACCGTAAGATTGCTCCACTAGCAAAATTGGTTCCATTACACATTTCAGTAAGTTGGCTCAAATAAATCCCACTTAATAGCATATATTTGACTTAACTATCTAACAATATTTGTCAAGACTAAATTATATTATGTCTGAATTTGGCAGTTTGAGAAAAAGAGCGTAAAAAAATAACAATAACAATATTTTAGTCAAGCTTTAATTTAAAACAAAGAACTAAATTATGGACCTTATGATTTTTTTATTGTAGAAATCATTGCTAAAAAAAATATGTTATCAAAAGAATAGAATTGTCACATAATATTTTGAATTTTTGACTTTCTGTATAAAATTAAAAAAATATATATATATTTTAAATTCCAAGCTTGGGTAAAACTATTTATTATTTTTCTAATTCCTAAAGTCCACATATTATCACTTTCTAAGAAATCCATTAAGAATTTATATAAAAAAACTAATTAATTCTGGAAAAATGGCATTTTGTCTATGGTGCAATACTATATTTTGTTTTCGTAGCTGCTTTTTCCTCAATTTTTTATATCACAAGCTTTATGTGGCGATCAAAATTAATTTCCGATATGATTGATATGTTTTGCAGCCATACGAAACCGCTTCCAAAGCAAAAATGACTTTGTCCAGCGGACAACTATAAATCATTGAGACAAAAATGTGAACACGCGGCACACATTAGTCAAAGAGGGCAAAGGCAGCCGAATCGAGCTGTTGGCCAAAACGCATAAACATTTTACAGCGCAAACAATTAACTAAAAATAACATAAAAGAGTAGGCAGCGCTCCGCGAGACATGGGGCCAACTTGAAGATCTTGAAATGAAAAAATGATTAATGAACGTCACAATGGCAGTTTGGGAAAGTTACATAAATTAACACATGTCTTTACCATAATGAGTCAACAGAGATTCGGTCAAGTAAGAGTCGGCTCAGCTCAGCTCGACTCACTCCCAGTCTGGTCATCATACAGACAGCCCCCAGGGCGCTCAAATCGGTTTAGTATAATTAATGTGTCTGCTGATTATTAATTTTTGAGTATGTTTCTACAGCTGCCATTACCAGGCAGAGGCAGTAAGTATCAATTCTAAATCAATTAAGCAAGAGCATGTCAATGGATTGGGTTACATTAAAAAACTATTAGTAAGCATACATATAAATTAAATATTGGTTGGGTCTTGGGCCTACGGCGATTGCTGAAAATTAATTTTTCTTAGTGTTTATTTTTTAAACTTACTTTTTGTTTTATTTAATCATATTTTATGGCATAAAGTTATATATTTAAATTTAAAACATATTTAAATTTAAAATACCTAATTTTCAATTATAAAATCATAATTGTTTCATAGTTTCATTCCAAAGTAAATAAATCAATGCTGACAAAAGCATTGGAAATCACCCACTTATTGAAAATTCAAAGCCAAGTCTGTCAGAATTTGTTTTATTATGTTTTCACATATTTATATATTTTTTTGTCTACTGCGAACTGCGAAATGAACATACGATGAACCAAAAAATAAGGGCAGCTTTCTGGTCATGACAGGTTCCACAGGACATGGCCAGACAGGGCACACACTCATAATTGTTGTATTTGTTGTTAACGGAAAACAAAAGGAGCAGCCAGTCCAAGTTCATTCAAATGGTTCGGTTCGGTAAGGTTGAGGGCCAGCCTGTGCAAAACGGCACAAAATGCGGCAATAAAAAATGTGTGGCTCATGTGGCCCCAGGATAAACAGCCATACACGCGGAAGAGTGAACCTGGGAGGAGGACGAAAACGAGGACGAGGACGAGAGGCCCAGGCAGACACTAATTCGATCTGATAATCATGGAGTCCCGCCAAAGGGCATGAATTGTAATTTCCTCTTTCGCGGAATTAACTTTCGGTCCCTGTCGCTTGGTCGGTTGGCTTTGTTGTTACGATGTTTGCAATTTTTTTCTTTATTTATTTTATTCTGGTTTTGTTTTGCTTTTGAGAATCTGTTGAATTCGGTTATTCTTTTATTTTTGGCAGAGACACACCGGCTAACCATTGTTGGCTGGTATTTATGTGTCATATTTATTCATTTAAGGCATTGCGCTTTTGTTTTTACTTCTGCCGGTCGTGTGTCTCTCTGCATTTCATTCATGGCTGCAGGACGTTTTTTTTTACCCTTAGTTATCCTTTGATGTCTGGCCTTCTTCGGAAATCCACTAATTTGAACCTTTAAATGACAAGCAGTAGGGGAGAAGAATGTTTTTCCTTAAAGTAAACACACAGAATATATTTAAGCTTGTTTATCAATAAATGATAAGTAAGAAATATTTTTTCTACAAATCTTGATCAGTAAAAATTTTAATTAGGAAATAAAATAAAATATCAAAAATTGTATTTTAAGCAAATTTTTTGTTAAATTTTAAACAGATTTAGACATTTAAAGTTCAGCTTTATCTAGGCAAAACTACAGATCGAACAATTTGCAAGCAGAATTTCATTAGAAATAGGCAAAAATCCAGACGGAAACCCGAAAAAATAGAACAAAACTTTGCCTCAAACGATAGATACAAATATACATCCTTGTTTATGTATTCAAATACTCGTGTGTATATATGTATGGTATATGGAGACGGGTCTGACTGAACAACAATTTTGCAAACGGAGGGTAAAAATAAAATCAGCATTTTTAGTAGTTAATTTAATTTATTGCAGCGTTTTTATGGTTGACTTTATTGCATAATAAAACATAATTTACTGCGCCATTGAGACTTTTTGCGTTTGCGTCGATGATTCTAAAGCGCAACCATCGACCATGGCCCACAGAGGAGTGGAGTGGAGAAGTGGAGAAAGGCAGGCAAGCCCACCGAGGGGTATAGAGAAAATATAGAGAAAGAGACTGTGGTTGCTGCGAAATTGGGCGAGACAAAGACGATGCCAACAGGGGGAGGATGGGGCCACAAACAGATACGTTAGGTGGGCGGTGGGAAACTTCAGACAGATTGCGATTTCATTTTTTGTTTACGTGGCCGGAAAAGTGAGGCGAATGCCCCGGAATAATAGGAGGATCGGATCAGATTAAAGCTACAAGCATCAGGCATTTTATTGCACAAATCTATTACGTGTTTTACTGCAACTAAATGAATTTAAATTTTATAAAAACAAGGAAAAAAGTAATAATGTATGTTATAAGAATATGGAACTAAATGAATTCAAATTTTATAAAAGCAAAAAAATGAATATAATTTTATTTAAAATCGAACAATGCTTATATGGAATGATGCATTGTATTAAATACAATAAATACTTCTTCGTTAATTTTTATATATTATATTACAAACGATTTTTAAACTTATTTTCTTTTATTCATTTTTTTGTTACAATTTTTTATACAATATTTTAAAATTTGCTTTAAAAGAGTTACCAAGAATTCGTTTTAGGAAATGCATATTTTTACCAACAAAAAAACCATATATTAGTAATGTGTTACACAGCAAACTAAACACAACTTGCGGTCGTGTCGTTGGATTTAATCACCAATTAACAGAACAGAAAAAACTTAACCAACTAAATATCCACCCGCTGTTCAGGACACAAACATTCCATCAGCCAGTCATTGACATATATCATGGAATCCAATTGAGTTCAGCTTTCGTCCTGATATAAAAGCGCCGGCAAAACGAGCGATTGCAAACAGTTGGGCATTGGGAGTGGGTCAGAATGCATGTCCAGGAATTGCTCTTCGTGGCCGCGGTCCTAGTGCCCCAGTGCCTCAGGGCGTTACGCTACAGCCAGGGTACTGGAGATGAGAACTGTGAAACCCTGAAATCGGAGATCCACTTGATCAAGGAGGAGTTCGACGAGCTGGGAAGAATGCAGAGGACCTGCAATGCCGACGTCATCGTGAACAAATGCGAGGGATTGTGTAATAGTCAGGTGCAGCCATCGGTAATAACGCCAACGGGGTTTCTGAAAGTAAGTACTATTTGGCCTTTCATTCGTCAGGAAAATTGAAGAACCATTTTAAATCTAGGAGTGCTATTGCTGCCGCGAAAGCTTCCTCAAGGAAAAGGTCATCACTTTAACCCATTGCTATGATCCGGATGGCACTCGTCTGAGCTCTCCGGAAATGGGCAGCATGGATATACGTCTTCGTGAGCCAACCGAATGCAAGTGTTTCAAATGCGGCGATTTTACACGTTAATGTCCCCATATGCGATATAAATTTATAAAGAATATAAATCAAGCCATTCAAAAATGTGTCTTTTTTTACGGCAATTTTTTTATAGAGTCTACAATTTTGTCATTGATATGTATTGTATAAGCCAAGCTCTAAAAATTATATATAATTTTTTAAAATTCCAAACAAAACATCAAATGGTATAAATCTGAAATAAAAACTTATAATTTTTAAGTTTTTTGATTTTCTCGCGAAAATAAATTACAAACTATATATTAATCATTTTATTCAAAAATATAAAAACAAATAAATCATAATAAACCCCTATTTTTATTTACCACTTTTTTTTTAATATTAATTTTTGTTATTTGTCTTCTATTCTTATTTGATGCTACTTTTTATTCAAACTCTAGTTTGAGATGCATTTTCAATTTAACTGGACATTATTACATGCAAAAATGTATGCATTTTTTTGGAGATCGTCGATTGCATCGTTATTCGATAACCCAAAGGCTAACATCTGTTGGATTGAAAATACATTCGGTATTTCACTGCGAGGCATTTGCGTTACTGCATCTATGCATGAACTTTGATTTCCCAAAAACATGCAATGCAATCCTGAATTCGAAAATGTTTGACATATCACCGGAGGCCAAAAATTGATTGCAACCAAAATGGAATACATCACTGGTCTTTTGCAAGGCAATTTTGTGTAGGAAATACCAACGTGGGCATTTTGACTTTTTGGCTTAGCCTGCCTACCCTAAATTAACTCATTTAGTTGGGTCCAGCACTCACAATCGCCTTGCTTATGTTGGAATCTGTGCGGGACATGAAGCTTAACCACCCGGAAACTCGTCCCGCAAACATAATAATCAAGCGTAAACTGCACTTAAGATGAAAACCGCTTTCTGGTTGTTAATTTTCATCATTATTTTCCCTATACCGCTCGCTGATTTGTTTTCTCTGTTTTTTTTTCTGTTTTTTCGCCTTCAGACATGCGAGTACTGGGCTGAATTGATTAAAACCCGCAGTGTAGAAGGCAGAACATCGGCTAATTGTAAATTGGAGCGGTTTGGAACGGAACACGCTCGGTTCGGGGCTAAATTATAATTTCATGTTCACAAGCACATTTGCACGCACTGTAATTTACTTAAGCATTTTTCCACCGCTCCCCATATACTTACCCACTCATCTGGATGTGATCTGCGCCGGTCGGTCCTGTTGCCGCCTTTCGTTCGTGTGTGCGAAACTCATAATTTAGTTGACACGCCCATTAACATCGGGCCGGGCGATCTTCCCGAGCTCCAGAGCTCCACATCCCCATCCAAGGTTCGCCGGAGGGGAAAACAGGGGGTACCTGGGTGGCATCGCGCGTCAGTGGCTCCATCAACAGCAACGTGCCGACACAATATAAATTATATATTTATATTTATAACATACATCGAAGCCGCGACTTTAGCCATTCTCGGCCCAAGTTGCATCCCCATCCCGGATGGAGTCACGTATAGCAGAGATCAGTTGATCACTCGAAACTTTTAACATTTCATTAGGGTAATGAAATTATACAGTCTATAAACAAACGGGTTTCCATAGCCAATTACTGGCTTGCTGCAGCTGTTGAATTACTTATTTAGCTTTAATTGAGGATCACATGAAAAATGGATATCGATTAAAAATTTTCTTATGAAAAAATTAAACCCATTTCTGTAATAATATTGTGTGCCATATTATTTTAAAAAGTATTATTTGTTTGACTTAATCATTTTCTGCAATTCATAGTCCTAAATAAAAACTATAAATTTTGTAAATATATTGATTAAATTGAATAATTAGTAAGTTCGATCGCTAAATACCCCCATAAATTTCACTCACAGGCATCAGGCTCACAAATCGAATGCATGCGTCCGTGTTAAATAAATTGCTGCATATTAATAAGTTATAAATTAAACACAAGACACAAAAGGCAGCCAACGTTAAATTTCTATATTCTTCCGAGTCACTTTGATGATAATTAATGAATGTTAATTAATAACAAATTTGAAACTCAGCAAAAAAAAATTAGGGGGACAAAAAATATAAACATTTACTTGAATGCTACTTTATTGTTATTGTTGCCAATGCCGCTGCTGGTTATCGCTTATACAATATCTAACATACTTTTTGTGTTAAAACGCGTTAATATTGGCAATTAATTTTCATCATTTCGGATTCTTTATTTCTTCTTCATTCTCATTTGCATGAATTTGCAATTAATTTGATATGTTTGTCATTTGGTGAAATATATTTCTGTTTGTTTTTAATGAAAGCTCAAGGCGAAATGTAAACAACAAAGTTTTTGTTGAACGGAAAAATGCTTTTAGTGTCAAGACACTGTCGTATTACGGCTCAGCAGCATTCAACACAATCAACCCACATTAATGGCCAAAAACAAGAAGGCGTGACATCATTGATTGGCTTTTTCTTTAAAGTTATTTTTGTGGCTCTTTTTTCCAGATTTCTTTGATTGCCTATAGACATCTCACTTCGCTTTCTGATTGAAATTTATGTTGTGTTATTATAACTATAGTTAAGCCTAATGCCGCTTGACATATCCACATAATACAACAAAAAATTAAGTGATGGATTTAGCTCAATAGATAAATTATATTGAAGAATATAATAGAAGGGACAGGTTTCGAGTTCTTAAAAAATAAATTTATTTCCATATAACCCTAAATATTAATTTTTGAGAGAGAGGATATAAGGACATATTTTAGTTAATTTTTTATAATTAAGTTTAGTACCAAAATGTAAAACTTTAAACATTGTACAACTTTAATAACTTTTTTTTTTAAATACATAGTTTTATTAAAAGGACTTAAGTAAGATCGATTTACTTTCAAAGTCGTACCAAAAAGGATTTTTTCAGTACTGTTTCACTATTTAAAACAAGAACTTTCTGACCCCTCAGTGTGTAACAGATTTTCCCTAATTTTTCCTCAACAAAGAGTATTCAGGAAGCAGCATTGGAACAACTTCCGTTTAAGACTCCGCATATATCATATTTCAGTTAGAAGGGGCAGAAACACAGAGTGCTGTGGGCTGGGTTTGAATGCGAGGTATGAGGGGTCACCTGTCAGAGAGTAAAAGCGCAACGAAGCGCAAAGCGTTTTTGCATTTTGCATTAAATTTATGATTTTTACAGCTGACATTTGTTTTCGGGCGCCTTTCCCTCCTTGCAGCCCCAAAAGCACTTGTGAGTGTGACTGTGCCTTCCTCAGCCGGCAGCCGCATGTGCGTAGGGCATAACATGCAGGACAACAGCAACAGCAACACCAACAATACCTAGCTCGACAGCAACATATTTTTTCCGACCAGCAACTGCAACTGAACAGAATATAAATCGAAAGAACGAATAAATAAATGCCCTCCCACTCAAGTATTTGCCAGTAACTCTTCAAAGATCCTTAAAAAAATGCAAACAAAACATATCACTTTGAAATATATTCAGTATTGAATTGAATTAAATTTTCTTCTTTTGATAAAAAGATCTCTTTGTATTTTTAAATAAATTTAAGCTTTAATGCTAGCAAGCTTATAATAATTTGCCATTATCAACCATACTTACATTTTTAACTCTCGATCAAAAAAGAAATAGCTCCTAATAATATAAGTTCTTAATAATGGTTAATTTAAAAAATCAGAGACACAGATTTAAAATGTACATACAAATTATTTTGTCTTTTAAACTGTATTTGGAAATTAAATTCAAAATAATTTCTGTCTAATTGTAAATTTCGCTTAAGACCAAGCCGTATAGACATTTGTATAGAAATAATGTGAAGTTATCCCAGTGTAGAAGGAACATTTTTAAATTCACAGCTAGTTTGGAAAGCCCTTTGCAAGGGTATTGCGACAAGAGAGGTAGCAGCAGCTGTCATAAGATAAAAATTTGCCCGCGCCTGCATATTGCATATGCAACTGCAACCCGTTGCTAGTTGCTGGTTGCAGGTTGTCGCGAGGGGGGATGAGGGGAATGGGCCGAAAGGGGCAACATGCAACATATTCTAATGCGTTGCGACATCAAGTGACAGCAACGGCGACAGTTGCTGTTGCCGCATGAGAGGCGGCGACAGGCGACAGCAGAAAAGATGAAGAGAGCAGCACCAGCAGCGCCAGCAAAAAAATGCATTTGGAAAGCAAGCTGCATTTTCTCGGGCATGCAAATGAACTGCAATTATGATAAACGCCAACAGTTGACCGGATGTGGGTAACTAAAGGAAAACTGGCCCAAGACCGGGACACTTTTTGTATCTCAAAGATTGTGCAATTATAATAATGGACAATAAACATGAGATGCTAAGAGATTATAAAAAAGGAAATGCACAGACTTGGCAAAAGCGGCAAGAAAATAGGACTTACATACTCCATTACTAAAGAACTTTTATTACGTTTTAGAACACAAAGATATTTGAATAAGTAAAACGGCATATAAAGGAAAAACTAAAACCTTAAAAAAGAAAAAAAAATTTTAAATCGTGTTCAACATTACATATGATCACCATGTGGCCTCTAAAAAAATAATTAAAATTAATAATAATATAAAATTTGTAAAATAAGCATTAAACAATTTAACCAAAGTATTATTCGAAGTACAAATGCTAGTTAATACAAATCCAGCTATTCATTACATAAAAATAGATATGCGGTTTCTATTAATTTTAAGTTGCTTTGTAAACACGACCTTTTGTAAACCAATTTTCAGGAAGGAAGAATATTAAATTGAAGCCAACATATGTTGCCCACTGGCCTTTGACTTTTAGATTTTTCCCATTTTTTCTACCGTTTTTGCAATGTGTGCAACATACACTTATACATACATGAAGAAAGCGAAGCCCCTTTGGCACATTACTCATACGCCCCAGTGGGCAAATTTATGAACTCGCCAGCGCACTTGAGGCCACGACAAACGAGTAGAAAAAAATGGCAAAAACCTACAAACACACACTCCTGACATCCATGTACAAACACACGGGGTAAGTGCGTTTGTATGTTTATTGGAGGGTACCAACATAAGTATGAGGCAAGTAAAGCAGCTTGTAAAATATGCCAAGGGTTAAAAAGTGTGCAGCACATAATTCATACACATACACTCGTACAACACGAAAGTCGCCTGGAAAATATGGCCAAAGGGTAAAAAGATGAAAAGCGTAAGAGAAAGCGTGGCAAAGGGGAATGCTTAACTGCAATCGAGCAACGGGTAAGTAGACGAAGACGAGGACTGCAGCATCTCTTAAGAGGGTGCATACAAATGGTCGCACTGCGGATAATTATATTTCGTTCTGGTTTCTAGTTAATTTTTAAAATGTTTGAATATTTAAATTTATAGGGAGATTACGATAAAAGAAGATTAAAATCGAATTGGTTTATTTATGGCTATAATACCTAAGTAATGTTTATCAATATAAGAAGTAATTTTTAATTTTTAGTAGATTTTAAGAAAAAACAGGATGTTTAGAAAAAACACACTGTCAAAGCTCAAACTCAGCACAAGACATCCTGCAAACTAACAAGCACTCAAACTCAACCACTTTGGTGACCATTTTGTGTTACTAAAGGGCTCTTCCGGTCACATATGCCGCATCCTCATCCTGTGAGCCACATAAATGAACTGCTAAAATGCTAACAAAAGCCCGAAACGGAAACGACCCCCGCACCGTGAAACACGCACCCCTACTTATTTGTCTGTTGGGGAAATTCGCTTGGGCAGACAAAAACACACAAAAAAAAGGATATGGGCAAACCCGGTTCTTTATTATAATTTTTTTCTTCCCCTTTTGCGGTTTGTAATGTGTGTTGTGGCCACAAAATACTGTTAGCCACTTCATTTTGTGGCTTGCCTAGCGAAGAGCGAGAAAGACATATACTTTTTGTGTGGTTAATTGAAACTCGATTGTTTTGTGTTAAACCAGAAATGAGTCTATTAAGTCCAAAAATGAAACTAAAACGATATTGTGAAACAAAGGAAGCTATAAAACGTTTGACTTCGTCCGCCATTAAAATGGCATCTAAATAAACATTTTATGGTTTTTGAAAGGCGAAACTTTCAAAAGCTTCTTAATGAACACGACAAATACCACAATAGACGGGGGGCATTTTATGAGAGCATCACCAAAAATGCTTGAAAAAGGCGTGGGGCAGCAGCAGCAGCTGTCAATATATAGCCAAAATATGTAAATTATCGATTGTTAATTCAAAGCGCCACGATTAGTATAATTGTGTGTTTCTCTTCGAAATCCTAAACATTTTAGTGCCATAAAGCTGGAGCAAGATGTCGTCTTTGGAATATTTAACCAATTGCGTGGATTTGGTTTTGTTTTTACGACCATTTTTTGTTTTTTACGATTCTGCGGCCTCAATAGAGCAATTTAACTAGAGATTATGACTCTTACATATGATTATTTTAAAATGCTTTCAGGTGGGAGTTATGATTCAGATATTAAGCATTTTGCCTACTAATAGAATAATGAAATAAATAAAGTTGAATATTAAAAACTATATTTTTATTTTTTTTTTAGTATTTTTAGTTGGATTTTTTTAGAGGCATTTTAATTCGGTTTTAAAGCAAGAAACGTCTTAAATGTCGATTCTTGTCCTTTTTTTAATATATGTTTAATCTATGTCTTGTTTAATTATGAAACTTAAATCGTAAATTTATATGAACAGTAGCACTAATTTCATTTTACAGTTAAAGAGTGAAAGAAAATCTAAAATTTGATAGTCATAGATTTTTATCAACCTACAAATTGATACCCTTATTTCTTATTAATATTTTTAAATTTAAATAATCGTTGAAAATAAAAATAGCTAGACCTGACCCTTTGTAACACAGTGAAAGTTTTGTGAGAGACAAATTGGGTTTGAAAATTAGTCAAAAGTTGATATCAGACATTTCTCGCTTCATGTCGGAGCCAAGCTAAGTTTTCCGCCAGCTGTTTTCTGTTTACAGTGGAGAAAACTCTCAGTGAAGTGAGGAAAATGTCCCAAAGTCTTGGCCTTGTTCTCTCCTCAAAAATGGCTCTCTGGCCAGGACGTATTTGCTCTCTTTTTGGCTCTTTGTAAATGCACTAAATCATATTTGCTCTGGTTGCAGCTTTTAACACATCCCCCACCCCCTCGCCACACTCACTCACATAAACTAACAAGCGCCCCACGCCCACTCGCCCACCTGCTCGTAAACAATTATGGCCGACGCCGTTGCGCTCTCCGCACGCACACACGCGAAATGGCTGCACACACATGTGTGTGGAAATAAATTCCCCACAAAACACTGCGAAACAGCAGCAACAAAATTACCCAAAATGGCTACACAGAAGCGTCGATCGCCCAATGAGCGTGCTGGTGTCGATGTGGCCAGCTTTGTGTGTGAGTGTGGCCTTTTTTTGGGTTTTTATCATTTTATTTTATAACCAAATTTTTGAAATTGTACACAATGCTGACTATCAGCTTTTATTATTATTTTAAATGCTCCTCACAAAAGATCCCGCGATTCTGTTTTTTAATTAAACAGACATAAATAATTGACAAAAGTATTACAAATAACTGCATAAAATCTACAAATAATCAAAATAGCCAATAAACTGAATGTACTACAAAATTTGGTTATGGTATTAGAGAACTGACAACTGGTCGTATACGTAATTTTTAATAGATAGATTTTTGTGAAAAGCTAGCCCTTGGATTAAGTTAAAAAAAACAATAGACTTAAATGTTTGGAAATTCCCGTTTCTTCCCATTGTCAGGACTACTTTTCTGCCCCAGCATAACCATCTACTACTAAACCATCTCTTCTACTACGCTTTTGTTTTCTCTCCGCTCCCACGCTAAAATTGCTGCCTCAGCAAAAAGCATGCGCACTCAGCAAAGAGTAGCGAACTGAAAACGTATGCTCTCTCTCTCCCTCTATGCTCGGCTCCAACTACCGCTCTATCGCTCTCTGAAAGGGGAGCGCATGGCCTCGCACAACAACAAAAGCACACTTGTTGAAAATGAAAACGGCCCCAAGCCACAAAGAGCGAACTGGTTTTTCGGCGAGCGCGAAAACTAGTGAGCGAAAGAGCGCGAAGAGAGCGAGCGAAGCGTGCATGGCATGTTGTTTATAGATTTTTAGTCGAATTTCGGTTTTTCACGTTTAAAGTTCGAACGTGCGCTGAACGCACGGACTGATGCGACCGGAGTGTTCTGTTGTGAGTGCGAAAGCGTAAATCGGCCTGGCGGAATTTCCACGGATATATATATATTGGATGTACTTCGCCCAAAAATCGCCCATTTTTTGAATCGTTTTCGAGTGATCTTTGTGCTTTATCAAAATTAGACTGAGTTCAAAACAACGTTTATACACATGTGAAACAAAATTAACTAAGTGAGTAGCTAACTTTTGGATAGCCCCACGTTTCCGGAACCATCTAACGTACGTGCCTCATCATAAAACGCGCCCTCAACGAGGCATTCGAGCGAAACCACAAACCAAAAACGGCCAAGCCAAAGAAATATAAAAATTTATATGTATCTAACAAAGGAAACCCATAAATACATAACAAAAACCTATGCGTGAATCAACCACAAAAGTATTTCCAAACAAGAAAAGAAAGTAAAGTGTAAATTCTTTTTATACACATTTTTCGTGTGTATATAAATAATCCAGCCGAGGCGGCAATTATAATACTTAATGAATTTATTGCACAATTAAAGCGAAGCCAACTAATAACAACAACAAATTAATATGCCACTGGCGTGAAAGTCACAACTCGACGCATGAGAGAGAAATCCCCCCTTGCGCCAACAGCACTGAATTATTAATGAAATCGAATTACAAACAAAGCCCAGCAAGCAGCAATAACGATTGCGAATCGGAAAAAATAAAAAAACAAAATAAAAAAAACAAAAATTAAATAAATAATCATCAATAAGTACACACATCAACAAGCGCCGCGGAACGTGGACGGCTTAATCAGCGAAAAGTCAGGCAGCTGGAAAATACTTTGCAAGCAAGGCGCAGGCGCAGGCGCCGCTTTTCACACGAGTTGGCAGCACACGCCACATAAATTGGCATTTACCGTTAAGCGCGCTGCCGTACTTTGCGGTCGGAGCAAGCAATAACAACAACCAGTCAACACCTCCACCGAACCACCAAAGAAAAGCCGTCAAAGTGGATTTAACAAATTATAATAAAATGCTGCAATCCAGCAATCATCATTATTTAAGGCCGGATTATATGACAGCTGCAGCTGCCCCAACAGCGGTAAGCCCCTCATCTCTGCTCATTTTGTCTCCTTTTTTGGGGGGGTATAATTCGCAAGGTGGTAATGCGGCAATCAGAAATTTATTGAATTTATCTGGTCTTATCGCTCAAATCAGGTCAGATTACTTTTTTTAGGCAAACCGGCTTGATCCACTTAAATTAGAAGGGATACAAGGCGAATTGAACTGGGGATTGCCCATCATTTAATACGCTTTTAACTGTATCCTATTAGCTATTTGACAGGTTATTCGTTATTTTCCTAACTTTTTACTTTAGTTTCCTAACAACTGGTTCTTATTTTTGTATAGTTTAATTTTACTTATTATTATTATATTAAATTTGTTCACACTTTTAAAATGTTGTATGTATATTGCACCTAGCTAGAACAATATTTCATGATCAATGCAAATTTTTATTAATAAAAGAAAAAGAATGTTATTAAAGATTTTAAAATAAATGAGGCTCTTATTGGTTCGTATGTTGCTTGAAACTTTTTATAAGGCGTTGCAAATTTCACACTTAATTCTCCACGCATTCCTTCACACAGTCTATCTAGTCAGCCTTAAAAATTGTTTCACCTTGTCAAATTGGTTTACTTTACCTTTGGATTTTTAAGCATGACAAACCTTATAATGGCTTGACATATGGATTTACTAAAAGGAATTCAAAAATCATCATGGTTAAAGGATAGTAATACGAATAGTACAGATATTTGCAATAACACCCAATTCGCTTCACTCGATTATAAAACTTACAGCCATGAATAACAAACTATCGACATTCTGGACATCTGAAATAAATTGTCGAGCAATATTTCATAAATAATAAAAATTTCGACTGTGAAGCACTCGCCACAGGCGAAATATCCTAACCGAACAACCTCCTCCAAACTTCCAGAAGACTTTTGGCCATGTGCTCGCAAACGGAAATGCATTCGGAGTAGGGGTAAAGGAAAATAGCGAGTTCACAATCGTTGAACGATAAATTTTCCAATATCTGCACATAAAACTTATTTATGTTTGTTCACATTAAACTATGTAAATCTGTAGCCGAGTTGCCTCTGTCTGGAAGTGTTTAGAGAGTCGAGTCGAGTGCACCTCTGGAAATTGTATGCAAATTTATGGCGCGCCAAATTTGAATTTATAATGACAGAAAACAAATGCAATTTCACACACACACACACGCACACAGTACCAGTGTTCGAGAAACTATGGCAGTTAATCAGAGTCAAAGTTGTTGTGGTCCCCATTACCCCCCTCTCACCTTATCCAAACTATCTCTCTTCGAACTGCCGTGTGAGAGCCATAAATTTTCATTTTAATTTGTTGAGCGCATTTTGTTCATAAAGAACGGAAGCAGTTTATGGCACCAGCACGATGAGTACATTCATTAACTGGGTAATTTGAAATAGCGTTTTCGGAGCTTACGTGATTTACGGAGATTTCGGTAAAGAGCCCCAGCCCCAGCCAGCCAATCCACCATATTGGTCATGTGAAAGCTTTTCAGCAGCGCAAACGAGCAAAAATCCATAAATCAACGGATCGTATCTCAATACGCAGTCCATGATGAACTGGTTCCGGTGCCAAGTGACTGACAGATTCTATAAATCTCGGATTTATTTATAAGACGGGCTTTAAGTAATGAGTTACTATTTAGATTTACTTTCTTTAACCCTAACTGCATTAAAAATCGTATTAAAAATCATTTAAAAAGCTTTTTGCAGTTGAAAATAGATTGTATTAAGTAAATCAGATAGATGTGTGTTACGAGGGGACTTTAAAATATATATGAATATACTTCTTCCTATACACACCTGAAATATAATTTTAAATTGACGAGCAAAGTGTTAAGTAAATTTAGCTTAACGTGGGCCTCCCGATGACTGACTAACCTTCTTCTTTTGTGCTTTATCTGAGATACTATCTGCGAACGTATAAATTATTCAATGATTAATGGCAGCTGTTTATAATTAATTATAATAAAATCAAATAAACTAAGCCTGACAGCTGTCAGTGTCATCATTTGTATATCTTTTATGTGGCGCCTCAGTCCATAAAAGCGGAGATGTACGTATATTGGATATACTGCGAGCGAAAATGAAAGAGAGATCTCCGAAGTGACTGTTGATAATTTGCTGTCACATGTTGAAAAATTACAAAACTTTTGTGACCGAAAAGGGAAACGGCGTCGCAAAATGGAAATAAATGCGAGACTCCGAGCTATCTGTTGGGCAATAACTCAAAATCTGAACGTGAAAGTCAGTTCAGTTTCAGTTCCAGTTCGGACGGGGCTCATGTCAGAGTCAGAGCTTAACATGAGCTCAAGACCAGTCAGTTAAACTGACAGAGCGGCAGAAAAAGGTAAATAAAGTGCAAATGTCAGCTGACCGCAAACATCATTAATATAATTAAATGTGTCAGTCAAGCGGCCATTTATGCAGTCGGACGTTCATTTCAGTTAACCACACGCTGCCATCAAGTTTGGTTTGGCTGGGTTTGGGCTGGTTTGGGCCACCAAATAACCCAGCAACTTGTCTGGTCGGATGTGGCAGTTAAAGTGTGCGCTTGACATAACGGCTCTGTCTCAGGCTTTTCCCCTGGCGAATTTTCCCCTCAATGGGCCATTCTTTTGGCTTTGTGTTTGCGTGTGGCTCTAATTAAAGTGTCATCAACAGCAGAAATGCCATGCCAGCCAGCCAGTCAGTCATCCAGTCAGTCAGCCAGTCAGCCAAGGCAACAACAAATGAGTCGAGCTGAGTTGTGTATGCTAGTGATAAATTGCCATGTCTAGAGCTGTCATGTTAATTTTTTGTACTCGCACACAAATAATAGTTTTTTGTCCAAAGTGTTAATTAATTCTTGGAACATTTTAAATATGTGAAAAGCGAAACAGACAACTGAAGTACAAGATATACAGCGGAATTGTTATGGCACTCTAATTGGGGTTGGGCTGGGTTAAAAGTCAATTTGCATCAAGCGTTTATATTTTGTGAGTCCATTAAAGGGTTTAGCTCACATAAAAAAGTGTTTTATATTTACATGGTGAGCTTATGGCTTTCAGCTAATTATAAACTAAGGGATTGCCACCTAGTTTTTAGGACTAGCTGTTAAAAATGTTAATAACTCTGTTGATCTACTTGCCAACAAAAAAATATATATTAAATTCGTTTAATTAAAAAAGAACCCTAAACACATATTATATTGAGTTCACTAATGCGGTAGTTTATAAAAACTCTTAGCAGAATTTAAAAATAAACTATTAGTCACCCTTTGAAATCATTAATTAGCTTTCTAATCAAAGCAAAATTCCAAATAAACACACAACAAATCAGTCAATCAACCATTCTGTGAATAACTTTGCTTGTAGAAATTGCATTGAACTAAAATATCATCTTGTTGGATTATAAGCTAAGCACTTGGTGATAAGAAACCGATTAAGAACGGACTTAAAAATAAACCTTCATGGAATCGATATCTACTGCTGTTCATTAAGAAATTTATGGCTTTTTATGGTGGGATCATAAATTTAACGATCCAATTTCGTTAATAAGCGCCTATAAATATAAAGTAAGAAATAGAAAGAGGCAATAAAACTTTAACAGCAGCGTCCAACTCAATGTTACCATCCCATGCCATAATTACTATTATTGCCTTTTGAGAATACAATCAAACGGCATTTATCACTCGAAACTCGACTCAGCCCCATACAATCGTGCCAGCAACACCTCCGATCCCCCCAATCCAAACTATAGTCATAACCATTCATGGCAAATATCATTTTGAAAACTAAATGCTTGCGTATGTACAAATTGAATGGGTGAAACTCAATGAATTCATTTAAATGCACGCGAGGCGGCAACTATGATAATGAATTGCAATAGCCGCTTAAACCGCAAAATAATAACCCGTTTTTTTTTCTCGGTTTGTGTTTTTTTTTCTATAGAGCTAAGTCGCGGCATTACAAATTATGGCCCGAGATAATCGATTTTGTGGAAGGGGACTGAAAAGGGGGCGAATGTGGGTTATAAAACAGTCAAAGTCAATAATCGTAAAATGCTCCAACAAATTAACCAATAAATTCATATAGAAGTAATCAAATTAATGTTCCCGCTGATTACTGTCAATTGCATTATCATCGTCACCATTAACAGCATCATGAGATGTGTCACAAACTCAATTGCTGGCTTAAACGGGTCAGCTTAAAATGTATGCAAATATTAAAAAAATACATACAAAATAATCCAATACAGAGTAAGCAAATGAATTAAAGACAATTTAGAGTTCAATTATGGGAAGAATTGTGACTTACGTTGTAAGATTTAGCTTTGGCTTCAATTATGCCCAAGCAAATGCTTATGCCATCACCATGTGACAAACGCTGTTTATCTTGCCCATTTTCCCAAATTGGTTTTAAAGCCAAGGCACAAAGTGAAAACCCCATAATTCCCCAGTGTCCAACGCAAAACGCTTGACCGTTACCGCGGCATTCTTAATGCCTGGTAATCCGGCGAAAATTAAGTGGGCTTCAAATGGTATCAATCATTAAGTTGCTTACCACACAACACGGGGCGTATGAGTGATTGCCGTAAAATTGTGTATAAATATTAATCAGTTGGCCAGCCCAAAGCCCCTCACCAAACAGATCATTGGGCAAATAGGGCTTTCAGAGCTCAACAAACCATTTGACACTAAATGCACACAAATTGATTTTGAAGCCCGAGCTGAAATTTCAAAAGAAATCACAAAGCATTCAAGAATAAACGTATTTACATATATATTTATAAGTTGCTTTGTATGTAAAAGGGTACTCAAAAATGTCTGACCCAAAGGGGGAAAACACACACACGGGAATGAATATAAAAAGAAATAGGCTAAAAATGTAATGCTGATAAGCTCACAAAGCGGTCAAACTGGCGCCATTTTCGGGGTCCGAGGAGCGGGCGACAAATTCAATCAAATCAACCCACTGAACGGGCGGAAAACAAATAAACAATCAATCTC